GACAAATTGCTCGTAATGCCTAAAACATTAAGGAATGAGATCCTTCAAGCATGCCACGACGACCCCGCGACTCGAGCCCACTACGGGCTAACAAAAACAATTTACAAAGTCAAATAACGTTATTTTTAGTACAACATGATTAAAGAAATACGAGAGTACGTACGGTCGTGCGCGCACTGCCAATCGCGAAAATCACCTAAAACACTACAACAAGGCCTCATGCAACCAATCCCGGTCACCCATGTATTTGGCTTAGTAGGAATGCATTTCCTGGGACCATTCCCACAAAGCGATAGGGGTAATAAATACGTAATATTAGCAATCGACTACCTGACTCAATGGGTCGAAACGAAGGCAGTACCAACGCAAATAGCCGAAGAAATAGTTACAAATACGACACGGTCCACGTTAGTAGAATAAAAGAATATTTTGGTCGCATACCAATCCACTAAAAAAAAAATCTTCACTTTTCTCTTCGTTTTTTAAATATATATAAGAACTTATATACAGATGTACATATGTTAATAATTAAACATAATTATAGTAATAAGTTTAGTTTTGGGATATAATTAGGATATATAGGATATTGTCGTCAAAGGGGTTGCACAACCCTCAGTGCAATTGGACTCCCCCACCTACGTCTACTAGGGTTCCTGCAATATAAGGTCCGAGTCTGGTATTGAAAAGGCATTATGAAATGTAACATCCTCTGAGGAGGTCGGTCGGGTCCAGGCGCGAGTCCCTGGACCCGCTTAGTGTATAGTGGTGTGTGTTTTGTGCCAGGAGATTAGAACCCGTTACAGCAAAGGACAGGTGTATTGTTTATAAACTATTCCCTCCGTTCCGTTGACTCCGTTTGTTCCGATACTCCGTTTATGTTAATCCGGTTAATCGGTTTATAGATTGTACGTTAGAGTTTAGGCAGAAGGCATAACAGTACGTAGGTATTGTCATGCCATCACACCTGTAATATTAAAGTAATATTAACCCTTTGAACTCCGCGCGGTCGACGCATGTGACGCCCCAGCAACTCCCTGAGTATATTAGCGAAATATCTGTCATGTTTGTTATATAATGAAAAAAAGGAACAAAAAAGAATTAAAGTATTTATTTTTTAACAGTATTATTTCAATGCGTTTTAATGTTAATTTCAAACATCAACAATTAGTGATTCGTTATTAACTTTATTCGTTATTATATTTGTTAACGTTATGATGTGATCAGAGCGTGTCGGACTGGGTCCGACAACGGAGTTGCGGAACACATTTTGTATGTCGAACTGGAGCCGACAACGGAGCGTAAAGGGTTAAATAAGCTAAAAGTACATTCTGTTTCATTCGTGTAGTTAGTTGGTTTAGTTTCCACAGGTAATTACAGGGTGTTTATAGAAGTCGGGTTAAGGAGTTGGGGTAAATGTTTCGTAATGGGGATGCAACGCTAAGATGTAATATTTGGTAGTCGTTGCAACACCCGAGAAAGAGACCATCAACCTCTTTAAATCGTCACAATATTGTAAGTAATTTTCTTGAAAATTTGTTTGTGTGTAATGCGAAATACTGTTTTTAATCAATATTCCAGATCCAGCGCGTGCAGTATTGTCAGGGTGATTAGTATTATAGAAAGAATAGAAAGGAATCTTGAAATGTAGATTATTTGTTAAATGCATTTCACTGATTAGCATCACATCAATCGTGTGTTGTAAAAATAATATTAATTCGTTTTATGATTTAAAACACCATTTGCATTCCATTGAGCAATCCGAAAAAACTTGGCCATTAATTTTTAACTAATTTGGTTAACATGTTCATGACTAATCTATTTTGTTCCATTAGTGTTTGAACATGTCTATAAAATCACTAATAAATGTGATAAGAGCAACGGTTACCTGTGACTGTTCGTTTTAGTTACTTCGTTGTATCTTTAGTATTTCAGAATAGCTTCTATGGTCACTGTAAGAATTAGCTATTGGCCGCCTGGTTTCTTCTGTATTTGATGTTTTAATTCTATCCGTGGTTCGTCTTCTTTCTTGAAAGTTATAATTATGTTGTTTATAATAATTATAAACCTTGTAGAAATGACAACCTTTGTAGTTTGCCGGATAAGCATAACCACACAGAATACATGTTGCTGGAGTAGATCTTTCTTTCTTACATGCCGAAGTATTATGAGGTCCACCCATAGACCTTATATACATGGACTGCTATGACATACATTTCTCAGGTACAAAAGTGTCAAAAGATGTTCTATAGTATGAGGGCATATGAGGGTAATTTCGCGGCCGAGATATGTCAAAAATACGAACACGTCAATTGCACTCGATAGCTTAAACGTTAAATGAAAGTCCGTGTGTTCGAAATTGTTGGGAAGATATTATATAATATACAATTTATATTGATCTAATGAATGTAACGAACTATTTATTTGTTTTAACAAAGTTTTAAGAGAAATTAAAAAAAAATAAAAAATATATTTTACATATATAAAATTCACTGAAAATAAGAACCGTTGGCTAGAGCTATTATGGGAAATTAGAAAGCAATAATGAAATATTTGTTTAAATGTAATATATTTATTATTGGTGTTTAAAAACACAATTTTCGTGTGAAAGTGGCGTACATATTTATCAAACTTCAATAATTAAAGATTTATATATTTGAGCATCTTGCAAAAGACTTCAGTTTTTTAGAGATAATCAGACTAATTCATTACAACCGTAAGGTTTTCCTTATCAGCTCCGGTAACTTTGCAGTTAGTCTTAATTTTGATTCTTTTTCGGAAATTTTCACTTTGCTAATACCAAACTCCAAATTGCTAAGAACATTAATGAAGTCAATTTTTTTTTGGAAGGAGTAAGAGCAAATTAGGGACTTTGTGCAAAAATATATTTTAAATGGGAAGAAATAATTGCGTTGGTCAATTTTTTTAGCTATTTATCTTTTAATTAAAAGAACAGTAAAATAGGTTTTTCATTGTATTATTTTGTTATATTTATTTTATTATTTTATTAAATAAGGTTTATTATATACTTGTATATTGTAAGATTTTCATATCGTATCATTTTCATAATATATTAAAGTAAAATGCTTAGATATTTCTTTCTTTCATGAAAATAAATATTATTTTAATAGGATTTTCAGTCAATTTACCAAATTTTTGACCTATTATCAAAATATTTTCAATGTATGTGCCAAATCTTGATCTCTAATCGAACTTTTCTCGATCTACAATATATTACAATAAGATCGGCAAATATCGCAACCGGGTTCGGACTTTAGGTTTCTTTCTGTGCGAAGATTGACCAAAATACACGTATGTGGTGCAACAAAAGTTTAACCGATCGACTCACGAGGCGAACCCCAGGTCGCTCCTGACTCGCGCTTGTGCTGTGTGGGATATCCAGTAAATATAGTATGATATAGTATATAGTATGAGGTAAGTAATGTATATAGTAAGTAAATATAGTATGAGGTATAGTATGATATTATAATAATAATGTTCTCTAATATTGAGTTACTCTAAAGTGCTTATACATATTCATATGTTACCAAGGAAGCCTTAAAAAATCATCAACTATGGGGAGTTGAAAACAAAGTAGATAAAGATGAGTCAAATGATTATTTTAAGATAATTAATAACATTATTATATTACTTATCATACAGAGTGGATTCCAATATCCAGATAAATTAGATATTATTTTTGGAATAATAAATAATTTAAATGTGATGATTAATATTTGATAGCTATCGATTCAAAAGACTTCAAGAGTATCTAAACTATTGGTTCACATAATAAACATATCATCATCTTTTTTTTTCTACTAATATAGCTTCCGGAACAATTTTATGAACCTGGTAAATAAATGAATAAACTTAACTTGAAATAATATCTTTTGAAAGATATCAAAATACCCGAGGCTAATATCAAATATTTCAGGAGGAACTATCACCAGGATGTGGGTTTTATCTTCCGAAAACCAGAATTTTGTATGTTGAGCATGTGTCGGAGAGTGCAATGGGTCACGAATGAACCATTATAGAGCGTGATGTACTACTATTTGTGTATGGCAGTGAGTTTCGACATTTTCAGCAACTGGCTCGAGAAGCAAGCGGCGAGCTATAGACCGAAAATTATTTCGAGGGTTATTAGGTACAATTTTGTCTACATTAAATTGATATTACTATTATCTGAAAATTTGATAAACTATAACAGTTATATTAAAGAACTGCATTTCATCATAATATGTTTCCATGTTTAACAATAATAATGTTCATAGTAATAATATACAGATATGTGGAGTAATATTAATATAGCTGTTTTTTTTTCTAGATTGCTGCAACAGATTGTGTAAATAAGTAATCTTCATAAGTAATTATTAATTCAATATATTAATAACAAAAGAATAAAAAATAAAACATTATTTATTATTGGTATGTATATATTTGTAGCGGCATTTTAAATGTTCGCGCGTTACAATTGCGTAACAGAGAGTAACTCTATGGTCGTCTAGTTCTCGAACTTTTGAGCGCGGGAATTGTTACATTTAGTACGTAAATGCTTAGAATTAATCCCTTTTCTAATTCTGCCGTCGAAGGATGAACATCTCATGTTAACATAAATATAATATCCTGCTATTATTGCTAAGAATATGTGCACTATTATTATATGGTATAATTATATATGTCTATTACTTTCAGCTTGAAACATTGAGGTTAATTAAATAGTCGCATAATTAAAGTTTCTAACATTTCAGAAGTGTGAATGAGCTATCCCACATGGTGGTAAGTTTCGTGTTGTGTTAATATTATTTTGTTTCAGCATATTAACGAGATTCTGTATTAGGAAAGTGAAGCGGTGTCAAATAACGTGTGTTTTCAGTTAGGTTAAGGGGGCTGTTTTAAATCGTATGTCGATTTAGGAACAGTACGTACACCTTGTTCGCGAGAAGCGATTGCTGGAACTTTTTGTAGTTTTGTTTTTTCGTAGACTCCTAGTAGGAAAAATGGAGAGAAACGCAGACGCATTTGAGAAGTTCCAAAGCAAATTGAAGGCGGACGATGCGAACGTAATTGGGGCGCGCGACGAGTTGTTATACGACATGATAAGGGCGTTACTAAAACAGAAAGATGAGCAAACGAGACCGGTATATCACTTGATGACGGATTTGTCGAAATCTTTGGGGGATTTCGACGGCAGAACCGAAGTGGCAGAAGCATGGCTGCGAAAGATTGATAGTTTAAAGTCACGGCATGAATGGCCGGATAATATTGCGTTGGACAACGCAATAAGCCATTTGGTAGGTGCCGGACGTGATTGGTACGACACGAAGAGGGACGAAATAAAGTCATGGGACGACATTAAAGAAGGTTTCAGGTATGCATTCACACATGTAGAGGATGGAGATAAATCGAAGTGGGAACGCATGAAGAAACGAGTCCAACTGAAGTCGGAAGAGGCCATTGTATACTATCACTCTAAGAGAAAACTGTGCCAGGATTTGAACCTTAGTTTCCGGGAGACTGAACATAAAATACTTCTCGGAACAAAACAGGTGAAAACAACCCGTGGATGTGATCATTGGACGGACTTTTACTGAACTACCACACTTGTACTACACGAACAGATACAACAAACTGACGTTTAGGTACAACGAGGAACATCCCTTTGCGAACATGGAAGTGATAGGCCCAATAGAACAGAGACTGAGGACAGCCAATAATTGTATCTTTTATTTGTATTATTCAAAGAGATATAAAAATTTTAATTGCTTATTCTTCAGTTGTTCATATAAGAATAGTATTAGGAGGAATTTTTACTATAAATATATTAGGTATTGTAGGTAGGTTTATTTTAATAATTTCTCATGGATTATGTTCTTCTGGGATATTTTGTCTTTCTAATATTATTTATGAACGATCAGGAAGACGAAGAATTTTAATTAATAAAGGTTTAATAAGATTTATACCTTCAATAACATTATTTTGGTTTCTATTATGTAGGTCTAATATAGCAGCCCCTCCTTCATTAAATTTATTAGGTGAAATTATATTAATTAATTCTATAATAAGTTGATCAATAATATTAATAGTATTAATTATAATAATTTCATTTATAAGAGCAAGGTATAGACTATATTTATTTGCTTATAGTCAACATGGAATAAGAAGAATAAGATTATATTCTTGTTCTTCTGGAAGGGTTCGAGAATATTTATTATTATTTTTACATTGATTTCCATTAAATTTATTAATTTTAAAAAGAGATATATTTATAATTTATTTATATTTAAATAGTTTAATTAAAATATTGATTTGTGGTGTCAAAGATGTTTAGTGACTTTAAATTATTAAGAATTTATATTTTATAAGATTTATTTATTTATTAAGTATAAGAATAGTGTTATTTGTAATGAGTTTATATTTTATTTTTAATAATTTAATTTATATTATTGAATGGGAGATTATTAGAATTAATTCTATAATAATTATTTTTAGAATATTATTTGATTGAATATCTTTAATATTTATAAGATTTGTATTAATAATTTCTTCAATAGTAGTTAAGTATAGAGAAAGATATATAATAGAAGATTTTAATAAAAATCGATTTTTATTATTAGTATTAATATTTGTATTTTCTATAATAATAATAATTATTAGTCCAAATTTAATTAGAATTTTATTAGGTTGAGATGGATTAGGTTTAGTTTCTTATTGTTTAGTTGTTTATTATCAAAATGTTAAATCTTATAATGCTGGTATATTAACTGTTTTAATAAATCGAATTGGAGATGTGACTTTATTAATTAGAATTTCTTGGATAATAAATTATGGTAGTTGAAATTATTTATTTTATATAAAATATATAATAAATAATTTTGAAATAATTTTAATTATATTTTTGATTTTAATTTCTGCAATAACTAAAAGAGCACAAATTCCTTTTTCTTCTTGATTACCAGCTGCAATAGCTGCCCCAACTCCTGTTTCAGCTTTAGTTCATTCTTCAACTTTAGTAACTGCTGGAGTATACTTAATAATTCGATTTAGAGAATTATTAATAAAAAGTAATTTATTTATTTATTTATTATTAATTTCTACATTAACTATATTTATATCAGGATTGGGAGCTAATTATGAGTTTGATTTAAAAAAAATTATTGCTTTATCTACATTAAGACAATTAGGATTAATAATAAGAAGGTTATCATTTAACATACCCAAATTAGCTTTTTTTCATCTTTTAATACATGCTTTATTTAAGGCTTTATTATTTATATGTTCAGGAATTATTATTCATTTATTAAATAATTTTCAAGATATTCGTTTAATAGGTGGGATAGGAAATTCAATAATTATATTAGGAAGAATTATTAGATTAGCTAATTTAGCATTATGTGGATTTCCTTTTTTAGCTGTGTTTTATTCTAAGGATTTAATTTTAGAAAGTTTATCTTCTATTGATTTTAATTTATTAATTTATTTATTATTTTATTTTAGAATCGGGTTAACTGTATGTTATTCTTTTCGATTAAGAAGAATATTATTTTTTAATTCTTTTAATTATTTTAGTTTAAATTTTTTAAATGATGAATTTAATAAAATAATTAAAATAAGTTTTATTTTAATAATTTTTTCTTTATGTTTTGGTAAGATTATGATTAATTTGATTTTTTATATTCCTAATATATTTTTTATTAGATTTATAATAAAAATTATAGTTATAATTATATTTTTATTAGGATTATGAGTAGGGTTAGAAATTAGGTATTATAAAATTGGGTATAATTATTTTAATAAAAAAAAATTAGTATTTTTTGGAAATATATGATTTTTACCAGTAATTTCTGTGTTTTATATTTATAAACCGTTAATTTATGGTAATAATTTAATAAAGATTGTTGATCAAGGATGATTAGAATTTATAGGATCTCAAAATCTATTTTTGAATTATTCTTTATTATCTAAAAATTATAATAAATATCAAATAAATATAATAATGATTTATTTAATTATTTAATTAGAATATTTTTTTGAGTAGTTTATTTATTGATTTTATATTTTTATTTAAATAGCTTATATTTAGAGTATAACATTGAAGCTGTTATGGAGAATTTTTTTTTCTTTAAATATATTTATAAAAAGAGATTTTTATTTTTACATTGAAAATGTAATGTTTTAGTTAAACTATATAAATAGAAATATTAATGATAATTAATCACTATAATTAAGTTAGAAGCTTAATATTTAATATTTCTAATTGGAATATAATTCAATAATACTATTAACAGTAATATACCTCTAATTTGGTTTCAATTAATAAATAAGGATAAATATATCAATTAATAGGTCGAAACTATTTGCATTATTGCTTCTTATTTAAGATTAATTGATATTCAATACTTTTTAAATGCAAATTAAATGTTATAATTAACTGTAATCCTAATTTCATTTTAATATTCCTTGATTTCATTCATGAAATAATCCTAATAATAAAATTATAATAAAAAAAATACTTGTTAATATTCAATAAAGTTTTATAGAAATTGAATATAAATTAATCATAGGAAGATAAATCATAGGAAGATAATTTTTTTTCTAGTAATTTATATTTATGTTGTTCAATTAAGTAATATATTTATATATAAAATTTAATTATTCCGTAAAATAATCTTTTTAATTATATATTAATATATATTATATATTTCAAAGTAACTGGCAGCCCATTCGTCGAAATAAAAAAGGTATAAAGTATAAAAACTTTTATTTATACGTTTCGACACAAGATGCGTGTCATCATTCAGCAACTACAACAATTTGAAAATTTTATTAACTAATATAAACAACAATAAAAATTAATTATAGCATAGAGAAACATTATACACACCACAGGACAAAAACACTCAACAAAAATTTATTTTAAAAAATTAAACTTAATAACATATTAGAAAAAACATTTTTTAGAAAAAAATTATGTATAACTAAAAGATTTGAAAACTAATTTTACTAAAAGTTATGAAATACATCATTGTGAAGCTAGAAGCACGCCCATACCGAGCATCTAGACTCGACTGAATTATTTCAATAGGCGTGTTGATAGGAATGGGAGGGGACGCATCAAGGACAAATTCTACGCTGCAAGAGAACGCATCGAATACAGAGGTTGAGCTGGGATTGATCAAAAGGAAAAAGAAAACCAAGTAAAAGTTAAAACAAAAAAACAAAATTGTAAAAAAATAATATAAAAGAAATAAGAAAATTATTTTTTTGTTTTTTTAATAAAATCAATAACTATCTGGTAACCATCATGTAAAAGGTGGGATGAATTGCGTTTGTTAACACAAGAGGAGGAATTTAATGAAATAAAAAAGGATTCAGCAAATTTTCTAAGGTCACTATTTTTTTCGATGTAAAGAATAACAGGATGTGAAGTGTTAAAAGTGTGATTGAGATTGAGCATATGATCGGAAAACATCGTTTTGAATTGGTTTGGATTTTTTGAATTATAAATATGTTGATTAACTCTCTTATAAATATACTGGGAACTTTCTCCAATATAACACATATTGCAATCATTGCAATCCAACCTGTAAACAGAATCGGTGACCCTATCAGACGGGGTTCCAGACTTAAGAATCGAAAAAAGGCAATTAAAAGTATTATCAAAACTAAAGACTAATCGGAATCCTTCTGAAGAAAATAACTTTTTTAAAAAATACGAAAAATTGCTTAAAAAAGGCAAACAGATAGTTCCTTTGTATTGGGCGGAAGAGGAAGCTATTGAATTTGAACAAGAAGGTGAAAATGAATTATTAGAATTCGTTTGTAAATAAATTAATCTATTATTAATGATGTTGTTGACCAAGTGCGAAGGGTAACTATTGTCTTTGAGAACGGAACGAATAAGGGTCAAATTTTTTTCCCAAAACATACTGTTACTTAGTAAAATAGCCCTGTCTATAAGAGAGATAATGACAGAAATTTTAATGGAACGCGAATGAAAAGACAAATAATTTAAATATCTTCCTGACCACGTTGGTTTCTGATACCAATCAGTCAGGACAGAATTGTTAACTTTATTTTTAGTAATTCTTAGGTCTAAAAAACTAATAGAGTCATCCGACTCAATCTCACAGGTGAACTGCAAATGTTTGTTAAAAGAATTAAAAGAGTCTAATGTGTCTACAATATGAGAATCATCAAGGCACAACAGAACGTCATCAACATATCTATAATAAAGGTGAGGTGGAACAGAAAGATTAGATAAAACAAAATTTTCTAAAATTTGTAGTGTTAAATCAGCCACAGGGGGGCTAATACTAGAACCCATGGGTAAACCAAAAATCTGCGAATAAAATTGATCATCAAAACAAAAGTACGTGTTAACAAAAATGAAATTTAAAACCGTCTTAAACCAAACCAAGTCAATCGAAGTGTGTGGTTGGATATCATTCCAGCGGGCAGAAACAGCTTCCAAAGCCAAATCCCAAGGAATGTTCGTGAAAAGGGAAATGACATCAAAACTAACAAAGGAAGAATTGGAAGGAATTGTAAAATTCCTTCTTGTTCATTGTTTCTGCCCGCTGGAATGATATCCAACCACACACTTCGATTGACTTGGTTTGGTTTAAGACGGTTTTAAATTTCATTTTTGTTAACACGTACTTTTGTTTTGATGATCAATTTTATTCGCAGATTTTTGGTTTACCCATGGGTTCTAGTATTAGCCCCCCTGTGGCTGATTTAACACTACAAATTTTAGAAAATTTTGTTTTATCTAATCTTTCTGTTCCACCTCACCTTTATTATAGATATGTTGATGACGTTCTGTTGTGCCTTGATGATTCTCATATTGTAGACACATTAGACTCTTTTAATTCTTTTAACAAACATTTGCAGTTCACCTGTGAGATTGAGTCGGATGACTCTATTAGTTTTTTAGACCTAAGAATTACTAAAAATAAAGTTAACAATTCTGTCCTGACTGATTGGTATCAGAAACCAACGTGGTCAGGAAGATATTTAAATTATTTGTCTTTTCATTCGCGTTCCATTAAAATTTCTGTCATTATCTCTCTTATAGACAGGGCTATTTTACTAAGTAACAGTATGTTTTGGGAAAAAAATTTGACCCTTATTCGTTCCGTTCTCAAAGACAATAGTTACCCTTCGCACTTGGTCAACAACATCATTAATAATAGATTAATTTATTTACAAACGAATTCTAATAATTCATTTTCACCTTCTTGTTCAAATTCAATAGCTTCCTCTTCCGCC